CTTTTACACAGTTGTGACGTCACAACCATGTGCCGGCAAAATCTAGCGTTTAAAATGATTTCCAAGCGCGCGAAAAACTTATCTTTAGATAATTTAAAAATTTGTGTGTTTAGGATTGTGAAATTTTGCATACTGGTATTTCTTTATGTTCCGCATTGATTTATCACATAAATAAAAAATGTGAAAGTGGCCCATTACTGGTACATTCTCCTTTTTAAAATATACACACCTCTGAATGCTAAACAAAATGTTAATCCAACCAAAGGAATGGTATCACTGAAATTAAATGCAATGTTCTATTCAATGGAACAAATAACCCTTTGTTTCGATTTGATTCTTGTCAACAAACACAATGCAAATAATTTTCACATGCCGATTCCTTTAGGAATATTAAAACTACTTCAAACAAAATTCCTTGTGCAAATTCCTAAAAATAATCGACCGCTACTTTATACAAATAAAAACTGGGTATAGAGCGTTATACGGTCCCCGAGTTTACTCTCATTGAACTGTGAGGGTTTATTATTCTTAAGTTGCTAAAACTGAAAATCTGGTAATTTTCAAAAGTGACAACTTAATTTTTTGTAAGAGCTTATTATGCTACTTCGTCTACTAAATTGAAATATGGCGGGTTTAACGTATATATTAACAGTTAATGTAATAAAAGTAGTATAACTGATATAATACACAATAAAATTTTAGGATTACTTCCTTTTACATATAGTCTAAACATCTGACCTCTCGCGTCTTCCATGGGCTGCATTTTTTGCCTCGAGCTCACGTTATGTGAGTTAATAAAACGAGTGAAAATGCAGTTATGTCGTGTTTTGAACTGGTAAACGTTTTAATTATAAAGCACGGATAAAATGCTGCTCATCTGTAAATAATGTACAAATGAAATATGTAAAACATGCAGAGAACTATTTACTGCTATTATGATATAATTACACACACACATGCATGGTTTTCCATTAACATTGTCTACTGTTTTTAACGTTTATCTCGACGTTTATTAAAATATCTGCAAAACATCATCAATGTTAACATAACCTTTTAAGAAATTGAAGTAATCGCACTCGGGAATATACGCACACTCTTATCAACATAAAAATAATCATGATATGAGGAGGCATTGTCAGACACTGATCGTTCGTACACACAATTTCGATGCAATGAACTGAAAGTCTAATTAAGAATTGTGGAAAATTTCTGACTTTTTCCGGAAATTTTTTGTTGAAAACGTTTAAGATACTCTCTAACAGTTTTTTATTAATTTGTATACCCAATTTTATTTATCGCACAAGGTCCAAAGTGGTCACTCAATTTTGAAAAACTTGCTTTGAATCAGCCGTTACTGTTAGCAATCTGAAAAACCTTCGCTGTTCATCACAATGAGTTTTAATGTGAATTTATTTAATCTCGTTTCTATTTGAATAGCGCTTCCGAGTCTCGAAAATGTTCCTTTGCGTAAATGTTACCACTCGTAAATGAACGTCCTTGTTACGAATTAGCCTAATACAACCATCGCAATTTTAAACTAAGCTGGCAGGTAACTCGCACTTTGAAAATTTCAGCGCAACTACGTGACCGCTAGCGAAATCAGCTTAGAAAAATCGCAATTATGCGAAAATAAAATCCTCATACACAAATATTACTTGCTGGCGTGAGTTTCATCTGCCGAAAACCCCCCTCTTACATCCGGTCTAACGCTCGAAAATGCACACCTTTATCGAAAATGCACGCGTTGTTATCGCTAAACCTCTCGCCAGGAAAGATTGCCGGTCACAGAACACTTGATTCCGGTCTACAATCGAAGTTTTTCTAAAGATGTGAGCGACTTCCGGGAGAGTATCGTGTCAATGTTGAACAAAAATACTTTTCGTTTAACATTGGCACAATCCTATTCCGGAAGTCGCTCGCATCTTAAGAAAAACTTAGATTGTAGATCGACACAAGGTGTGCTTTGACCGGCAATCTTTCCTGGCGAGAGTTATATGTATTTTCAGACATACTTCTGTTTATGTTCGCTACGAAGCGGTACATGTGTAAATTTTCCTATGTTTAACAAAATACAAATTGCATCTTTTTGAAATTTCTTTTAAATTCGGTGATATTATACAGAACGAAGTTATTTATGTATTGACCATTGTAAAAACCCTGTGTCCTTGGCATCCTTTTGTCACTCTTTTCGTAACCTAATTATCTTCACACACTGCACTGTGATTTTCATGGTAGTTTTACTCGTTCTGGTCTGTCAGACTGTGTTTTTCATAAAGTTATTTTATGACCTATTCGGAAGTATAATTATAAGAAAAAAGGATTTATATTCATAAAATTCTTATAATGGTTTTAACCAAAGATAAAAATATCAGTTTAAAAAAAATGTATATATTTGCATATTCTACAGATCAATTCAATATACCTATACTACAAAATATCTGTTCACTAGTCCTTCCATTTGCTCATATCTTACGTACTTTTTACTGAAAAGCACTATTATTTGTTGTTATTTTATGATTACTACCTTTTTGATTTACTGTACCAAGACAGAACTTGCAAAATTAAAAAAATATCAAAAACATAATTAGGAATTTTACTTTAATTTTAGAATAAGTCATTATGCCAACAACTCTGACGTTCAGACTGCCGCCATGCTGTCGTGCGTATTCGGTAAAGGTCAAGAGGAGAAGTATCGAAGGAAATCGTTTTTGAAATACTTTCCAATGACAGTAAGTTCGCCTGATAGGCAAATCGCTTGCTTAGATTGGATAATGTATAATTTTAATTTGTAGCAACTTGCATCTGGAAAAAAATGGCTTAAGGTAAATTAACTTAGCGTGTCGACGAACCTGTATTAATCGCATGATACCTTATGACTAGTACGCTTGCACATATTTTTCTTTGGCTGTTGGTGATACGTATGGCATGTTATACATCAGTACTAATAATAGTAGTGTAATGGTGAGCAATATTCATTCTCCTGCGTCATAAAAATTTTGCTGAGCATGTTTGAGTCAATGCAAGCTGTAGAAGCTGTGAAGATATTTTCTGTTTGATGTCACTACATGGTGGTGGTTAGCAGATTGGTATGGAGTATAAGCACATGCAGTTAATACATAATGTACAATTAATCTTTATAATAATGATGTTAAAGTAATACACCTCTAGAAAACCTCAAAAACTACAAAAATACTTTTACTTACAGCATGGCTGTTAAGTATTAAATCATCTTTAAAGTGTAATCATTTTATAAAGTATTTTTGTGGTAGATATCTTATTTCAACGAGGTTAGGCAATACGTACTAAAAATGTGCAATAATGTTGGCTCTCCAAATAGCAGCACTGTGTAATGTTTATGAAAGCAATGTAATTGTGGAACAAGTAAAGCACTAATCTGTTCCGTACATTACAGGCTGGTGGATCTCCATATCATACAATTCCTCCTGCTGACGTCGTCGCCGACGGCTGGGTATTTCCATTACTTAGGGTGGCCAGATCCAACTCCTTGGACAACTTAAAAATTGAAGCTTTGCCAAATTTGCCATTCGAAAAACCGCCCATTAGCTCCTTTTACGAATACTATAAGCTCGCGTATGCGGAAATGTTACACCGCTGGGGTCTGCTATACAATCGAGCGGAAATTTTAAAGTATTTGTGCACGCCGACTGAAAACCACAAGGGAGTCGAATTTCTCACAGATTGTCAAAAGTGTAAGGAGCCATCTCGCACGACCAGCTGCATAACGTGCAAACGCGTTTCTTTGGAATGCATTATTTGTCATACCTCTGTGAGAGGGTCGGCGAATTGTTGTCTTGTGTGCGGGCACGGTGGTCATACTAAACACATGAGGCAGTGGTTTGAGAAATATTCAATTTGCGCTACGGGCTGTGGATGTAGGTGTCTTACTGAGGCTTTAGGGATGTTTAACTTTTAGGAGAGCAGGAAATATGGGCATGAATTTACTTATTGTTTTGTATTTCAATTCAATTTTGAATGTTCAAATGATTATCAGTATCAGTTTACATCCAACAAAAAATTTACTAAGTATTCCACCCTGTTAATCAATACTTAAAGAGTGTGACGAGAGTGTATTGTATAATGTAGAATAGAAACTTTGTTACAAAACGAGAGCTTTGATTACTATCGGTTAAGTTAATAAACCCATTTTGTTGCTAGTTAAACTTAGCCGCTGGGAATGAACAGAGCTATTGAGGCGAAGGTTTTCCCACCCGAACTGGTACATAAATAACAATTTTCACTTTAGCAGTCAAATAAGGTAAGAAGTTTTCCCAAGCTTTTTTGAATACTTACACACCTACAGAGTATAAGATGTCAAATTGCTAAGGTCCAAAAGTCGTTACGCTGTATAAGGGCAAGCAGCCGTATTTCAGGAAGTTCATGTTTTGAAATTACATTTGAATTGTTTTTGAGGTATGTAGTGGTAAGTATGTTTACATCTTTAGGAACTTCAAGGTGTGTGTTATTTGTTTTAGGCTGAAAAACTAATTGCAATAGGAATAGCAGTAGTGCCATTTTTTTATTTGGATTTGCACAAGTTGAAGCACAAAAAGAGGCATGGAAGACGGGTATTCCTAAAAAAAATTAACAACCCTGTAAATACTCTCCATTTCCATAAAATTTTACTGGACTAAAATAAAATGGGTTTTACCTGGTTGCAAAAAGCAGTATGACCCACACAAAAATACAAAATGCTGAAATGTCACACCAAACTTTAGAAAAAGATGTAAAACTTGCCCCACTATTGAAAATAACTTCAAAATTACACAATAATTAGATTTTAAAAACAAAATTTAATTGGTTTAATTTCACAATTACTTTTTACACTTGGCTTGCCCACATTGCAAGAGACTCAAAATTTACTGGGTTCATACACACGTGCCAAACACTTATAAACATCTTAAATCTAACATGTATATACAACTTACGACGATACATACATTTTTGAGAGTTGGCAACCATGCCTAGGTGGGAAAAAGCTGCTTGCGCCATCTAAAAAGGACGGACGGGGGTTACGTTTGGCATCTTGTGTTGAATGGCGGTCGTGAACGCGTCGCTCCATAAATGCTTGTTGTTATTTTGTGTTTTTTTAATACAGGTAGTAATCTTTGCATTTTTTTATATCGTATTTGTGTTTTGTATGCCACATTTTATACTTTTTTGTGTTTGAATCTTTGTTTTTGAAATTTACTTGGTTTAACCGCAATGCATAATCACATATGTGATACCTACCGTTATTCTATTGTTTGTAATTGTTTACGTTTTTGGTGTAATATGCTTGCTTAATTTATGTTTATTGATGTTGATTACTTGGTCTTGTCTCTGGAGTAACATTCATATAAGTTTTCATCATTTTATTTTAATATGTGGAAATTACCGATTTGTTTGATGTATCTACTGACTTGTTGTTTGTAACTAACATTTTCTCCGTGAATGAAGCAGTCACGGGGGTGGTAAAAACTGTTGTCAAAATTGAGCTACGACACCTAATTCCGTGATTGTCTTTGGCTTTCAACTGTAGACTCGAAACCCCGAAACCAGGGGCGGGTTACCTATCTTGCAGGAGCGGGATTACGCTAATCAAAGCTCTTCAGTTTAGAATCTACATGCGAATAATGAGTGGCGATTCAATAATTTCCACATATCTTGTTTTTAGTTAAATTAGCCTACAAGGCCATGTAATTTTCCATCTTGCTTCCCTCACCCATAATTCCCAAAACTTGTTTTTAACCTATTTATGTTACCTCTTGAAGTTTACATGCTACTTTTTGTGACAATGTTGACAATTTAATATTAATTTGAAGGCTGGTTTTTTATTGGTAAGTTGTCTTGTTTGCAGCCTATTTCTATTTTGATTCTGTGAACTACCATTTTCAAAATTTATTTTGACTTAAATTTCGGAGCTTTTACAATCAAATAATAATTGCGATCATTATTAAACAAACTTTTCACAATTTGAGCGTTTTATTTTACGTTCCTTCCCTACTGTGCTTCAGGTCATAGCGTTGTTTACAACTAACGTAAGGGGGCCCTGCCTTAGATGTTTGCTCACGTGCCACTTTCCAAATTTAAGCGGATCTTGTTTAGTTTTGGAGGGAATAGTAATTCGGGTGACCATTTTTAAACGTTGCCGGGTTGACTTTATTTCCGTGTTCTTGCAGTGTGAAGTAAGCGTAGAACCTGGGGGTTAAGTACACTACAAAAAGTTGTATCAATTTTTTCCGAAAAATGCAATTCTCGCTGACATTCAAAAATAAGCTATAAAACGAAAGTTGCATAGGATTCAATCTCAATCTTTTCATTCTCGGATTTATTAAGCGCGATTAGCAAAGCAATGCAAGCTTTTTAGGGGAGTCGATGGACGATCGTGTGCGGTCTGTCTATGATAACTGGCAAACGCTTGTACTGATTCTGTTAAAACTTTACACAGTTGACCTATATATGCCATATATAGATATACCTATATAATGCAACAAGCCTATTGAAAATGGGTTAAATCCAATGACTCCGTAAGATCACACTAAGGAAACCTTTTCTGGAACTTTTTAGGTGTATTTTGCAATGAAATATTTTTCACCCTGAAGAAGTTTTACCCCGCCCCGGGGTAAGAGCAACCCCTGGGGCACAGATAGTCATCTTTGAAGTAGAGAACATAAATTCAATTTTTTTTTGCAAATTGGTGCCGTTGGCAAAATTATATGGTATCACTAAATCACGGTATTTTACCTTCAATGATTGGACTAAGATGGCGACAGGAGGAAGATCGTGAGATGTCCGATTTCAAATTTGAGGCTATAGGGTTTATTCATTGCTATAGGGGCACCGAGCATGTATGTATAGACACCGGTTAGAAATACGTTAGCCTCAAAACAATGCTGTCATTTTACAACAGTGCCACTCTTTAGAAATTAGCACATCAGCAATTTTGAAACAATGCTATACTGCAGGGGTCGGCAACCTTTTGGTAAGTGTGGGCGAATGTGTAGTTGTGATCTGTATGAGGGGCACCGGGGGGTTTGAGGGGTACTGAGCACCCCCTAAGGAGAGGGCCCCCCCCCCCGGAAAATTTGAATTAGAATTCACAGTTTTAGCGCCCTAAATTGGTACAAAACAGTTATTTTTCATGTAGTAATTTGCGTTGGAGCAACAGCAAAAAAATTAAAATACTACTACTTGCAAAAGGGGTAGATTAAGAAACGTTTAAACCGTTCGAGGATGGAAATGATTCATACTTCAAGTTCGTTCTACATGCAAGTCGCAATTTTGCCGTTCATTTTCACATTAGGTATTCGAATGTAAAAGTCGGGTCATATATTTAGTAAAATTTAATGTCGAACTGTTTCGTCCATGTAGAGGTGGTGTTAACATTACTTAGCGGGATTCAACTTCAAATATAATTTTAGTCTATTAAAGTATTTAGGAACTTGAGATACCTTCCGAGTTGGAGAAGGTCCGGCTAATTGACAATGTATTTCATGTACTTTATGTACGTAAGTGCCTTAGGAATTTTTTTCACAAATGGGAAAGGAGTGGAGTCTCTTCCTTAGATTGCTAATTTTTGTATATTCTAGCTGGGATGTAAAATGTGGATTTAGCGCAATGAATTCTTTATTCATTGGTTTAGCGTTTTTCACAGTTACATATCTTGCTCTCTTTGGCTTCAATAAGTGTGTTGTCTACCTTTCCAATAATAAGCTTGGGTAATCGATAAGTTTATGAATCATGTATGTATATTTAATGGGAAATAATCAGGTTTAATTTAAACATATACATAACAGATATGGGTCTAAATGTAGTAACCACTCATTTCAAAAATTCGTAAGGCTTCGAAACAAAATTAAAAATTAATTATTTTCATAAAATGCTCTATCTATTCTGTTCACAGCTCTGACCAACCTAGTACATTTGATCTTGAAGTAAGAATAAGACTCGTAGTATAACTAAAAAACACTTGACTAAAACTATCCCACAGCAACACTTGATTGAGGTAAATGTTCGCTCTCGCTTGTCTCTAATGCATTTGTACTGCTTGCATCGTTTGTACTATCAACTGCAGCAGCAGCGGCGGCCGCTTCAGCCTCCTTCATACGTCTGTTAACTAACACCTGTTGGTGCTCAACATAGATCGCCATAAATCTGTGATTTAACCTGATAAATTTTTCGGCGCAATCTTCCACGCATTTTATTTCGTTGTCGTCCAAATTTCGAGTATTTAGGTTATCAATGCACCTTTTAAAACACGTGTGGGATAATAAGTTGTAGAGTTGCAAAAAATCTTTGAACTAAAATTATTCATGATTAAAGCAACTCTGTTGACGAATAAGTAACTAACCGTTCGAATATTCGCCTCCATATTCCTTGAAAAGCTATTTTTTTAAATTGCGCAAGATAGGTTATGTTATGAATCTTATCAATCACACACACAGAATAGGTATGTCCCCAAATCTATGAGTATAATTCTGTAGTTCAGCAATACAGAGTGATCATTAAGGCTTGTTTTCACAGACACGAATTTCGGGTTTTGTACGAAATCCAGATATTCGCAAAAAGTTGAAAAATACGAAATACGTATCTATCCACTGTTCTTTTTTTTTTCTCATTTGGCGTTATTTCCGGTCAAAACGGAAGTGAACAAAATTGTCAGTATGACCAGAGTATACTATACTCTAGAAATCATTATGCACAAATTTCAATGGGAAAACGCCCAAACGCAATTTCATGCACTTTGGTGACCATGTACGACTTTTACTCAACGGAAGAAGTCGCAAATTAGCCATTAATTCTGATGTATGGGCCAAGTGTGGAGGAAAATGTAGGTTGGAAGATTGGGTTTAAAACTGCTACTTGGTAAAGTAAAGCATAATGCTTTCAACAGGGATTGAATTCACTTTATTAAAATTATACAATCTTGATTTTAATACTCGGTCTGCCAAACAAAGCTCTTGGAGGAAACCAATCCACAATTAGAGGTTCATCTTTTAACGAAATTAAGCCTCAGGAGCATCTTCTTCCTTTACCTTATTAGGTTCATCCGGTTTCATAGCGGGAAATAACAGAACTTCCTACAACCAGAAAAGTGAATTATGACATTAGTTAACAAGATATAG